AATAGAAGCAAAAAGAAAAGGAAGCCAATGCATGACCTGAAAGCTTGTGAAAGGTTACGAAGAAACATCATGTTTATGACATTGAAGTGCGAGACAAATATTACACCTGCAAATGTAGCACATCATTTTGTATGACAGCTTTCAGATATGTTTACAGCAGTGTAAGGAGAACAAGTGGTGGGCTTGTTGTATTACAGTTTTTCATCCTAGAAACGCAAGAAAAAGGAAAACACATCTTCCGTGAAGTTTACATCATAGAATGGAGCAACAACCAAACAACGTGATCTATAAATAATGTCAGCAAAACCTTTCTGCAGATGTCTCTTTTTAAATGTCAGGCAAATATGTTTTTGTTTACTTTTTGTTTGCATGTGAAATATAAATTGTATATTGTATATATTACTTTATGAGAAGTAGGCAGTTGTTTTAACTGATGAAATAAATGTCAGTTAAACTGTTGTGTTCATATAAACAGAAATCTTCAACCATGTAGATGTATATAATTATGCTGTGGATACAGCAGATGCTGTAAAAGACACAGAATCAAATTTTGAGTAGGTTGTTTTCTCAGCTAACTCTGATTCTTTTATTGTTCAGCATTTTTCATTAAGTGTTCTGTCATCTTTGCTTAGGAGCCAGTCTCTGCTGCACTAAACAGGCTGAGCACTGCTTTTTGTCCACTAGTTGCAAATCTCTTTTTGAAAACAAATAGAAGCAACTGATTTGCTTTTGTTGAGCAACTTGTAAAGCTACTATAATTTACTTAACTGATTTACAATTTTCATGCTACACCTAGAAACTTTAGTATTTTTATTGAGATGCTATGTGATACACCAAGATGGGTAGTGCATAACTATGCACAATTGTAGCATCGTTCAGAACTCACTGAATTAGTAAATATAGTCTATTTGTGTTTATTTAGTCTCAGTAGACATGCAGATTGTCCGGGGTGTGTCTTGAGTGACGATCCAACAGGCTCAAGTGTTTCTTATCAAGGAAACAAATTTAGACCAGGAAGGTTGGTAATGACATAAGGACTGACTCAATTCTTTTACTTTTGTCTTTACCGTAAGTGTTTTTTTGACAGATTTTATTGGATCAAAGAGCCAAAATGATAAAATTTGAATTGATTAATGCAACTGCTGTAATTAACCTGTGTAATCCCAAATTTTTTCCTGCAAAATAAATGCATGCATTTCATGATTGGACCTCCCTAACACATGATATTTATTAATTATTACATTTCATGTTAGTTATGTTAGTGAAAATGTAGGTTTCATACTTGGCAACAATTGTCAACGGTGGGAAAGTGCATAGTCTAAATTACACAAATGTGGCCTATTTATACACATAAGAAATGTAAAAAATAGTGACATATCTAACTTATTATAACAAAGAATGGTTACAAGAGTGTTCAGAAATATTTTTGAAACATAAAAACTCAACACCACATCCTGCAGAGGTCATTGTCTCAATGTGCCAAGTGACCTTTGACCTCATTTGATTTGATTATTTCACCAAATAGTCAAAATCAGGTGAAAATGTTAGTATGAACAAATTTGCATCTGAGAGTACATTGCTCCTGTTCCACCAGACCAAGCAAAAGACCTTTCCCTTGTCCTGAACTAGTTTCAGATACAGCGTTATCTTGTAGTGGTCATTCAGTGCATAGACTACAGTGTGTAAAAAGGGTTGGTTTTTGGGGAGTGTGGAGGGGTCCAACTGTGCGAATGAAAGTGATGTATAAGACATCATTTGGAGGTTTTTTAAAGCCAAGAAAATCTAAAAGATCTTATAGTTTAAGCTCTGTGGGAACAGCAACACATATAGAATAAACAGCAAAGTTATGGACACATAACACAGTGCTGTCTATGTATTATGCTAGACATAATACACTCTTCTTATGATTAAAAGATGAATGAATTAATACAATTTTCTTTATATATAAATAGAAGACACTTGAAAGAACATATGTACATTTATATTTATATTTTTTTATTGACATATTTTTTTGACTTTCTCTTGTACACATTTGTGACAAACATTTACCTCCAGCGTTACAGGCAGGAAGTAAAGAGGTCTGGTCATGTGACCTTTCACACTAGATACATGATATTGCTTAGAGTAGACACTCTATTATTTGATTTAAAAACTTAAATTAGTTTCTAAAAATCAAAGCAATTCTTTTACAGATTCCAGAAGTGAGAAAAAATGTCTGGCAATAATTGTTACCGATGGATTCTTAATTTAAAAAAAACTTTAATAAACAGAGATAACTGGTGTCATACATTACATTACATTATGCAGTTCAGCGCTAGGGAGCTTCTGTCCTGCAATCTTTCAAAGCCTCCCTTCTTCTACACACCTGAACCAAACGAATGACTCTTTACCAGGATTCTGCTGAGCTGAATGACCTGCTGATGAGGGAACTCGGCCATTTGATTCAGGTGTGAGGACTTGAGGACTGGTCTTGGGCATCTCTGTATTAGACTGTGAAATTTCACCCAAATTATCTGACATAAAACTTATAAAGTGCTGTGAAAAAGTATTTGCTTTCTTACAGATACCTTCTGTTTTTGGTTTGTTGTCACATTATAATAATTTTTCTTGATCATCAATAAAGTGAAGGGATTACTAAAGTAAATAAAATTTTCAAATGATAAAAAATCCTGAAGGATTGTCCAGCCATTAGTTAAGGAGCCTTAGGTGAAGTGCACTTAGAGGTTGCACAGCAGGAAATTGCTCTAAAGCAGGGGTGCACAAGTCCAGTTCTCAAGAGCTATCATCCTGCAACTTTTCGAAGCATCTTTCCTCCGACAGACTGGGATCAGCTCTAAACAGGCTTGGTAATGAGCCATTCATTTGATTCAGGTGTGTTGGAGCAGGAACGCATCTGAAAGTTGCAGGATGGTAGTTCTAGAGGACTGGACTGGAGCGGCCTGTTCTAAAATATATGAAAACAAACAAAACATGAAAATGTTGTCAGTTCTTAATACTCTCATTTCAAACATTCTCCGTTTACCTTCTGAACTTGAAATGACCTTGGCCCTAACATGATAATCGATATGTTGTACACCCTGTTGCTGCTTATATCCACAAAAGCTCCCTGCTAGCTGTACCAAGGTCACAGTTTTTTACTGTCGGGATGTTTGTTTCCATTATTAGAGCCCACATTTGATGGAGCTCTCTTTCCTGCTAAACTCACACACATTTCATCTCTTGAATCTAACCTTGAAACTTCCTATTTTGTAAAAGCATTTGACAAACTTGGATATTTTCTTGAAATTTTCTGTTACTGTGGAAACAATCTGTTTTATCTAACTTGAGTGAAAGAAACTGCTCTGCTCTGCAAATTATTCTGTGTTTTATTAGTATTGCAGAAATGGGAAAAGAGGAAAGAGCCTAGTTCAAGAAATTCATGATATTGCTGGAAACAGGTCTCCTAAGACTGTATAATTATTCATTTCTGTCTTCATTAGCCTGTGTACTCATTTAGCTTGGTTGTAAAATGCTCGACACACATTTTGACTGAACACCCAGTAGACATGTAAGAGCATAATTCGTTCATCATACTGGACAAATCAGGGGCATGCCAGCTTCAATCTCTGTCACTTGCTCTGCAGTTGTTCTCCTGTCCTGCGGGTCGTTTGGCATCCAGGAACATGATAGAAATGGCATTTCTGCACAAACTAAATTCAAAATATTGCTCAGATTCTAAAGATTCTGCAGCACTGCATCTCAGCCACCTGCGGCTTGATTTCTATTTAGCTTCTGTCTGAGTGGTGTAATGGTTGACAGCAGGATCTTTTTTTCTCTCTCTCTTTCTTGTTTGCATCTTGAGACAGACTGGAGAAATAGCTGCAGAGACATGGTAATTTTATTCCTCATACTTTTCCTGTCAACATTTATTCAAAGTGCTGAGCAATTCAACGCACTGCAAAGTGCAAAGTGGGATTCACTCTCCCAACCAGCTTTTATCCAATTTCAGTCCAGAGGTAGAACGTCTCTTTACGGGAAAAATTATAATCATGCAGCTCTGCGTCTCACTGAGACCAGCTGAGGAAACTACTGCTAATGCTGTCCGACTGATAGTAATATACTAGTTTTTTCTGCCGGCTCTTGCTGACATTAACAAGATACGCCTTTCAAATATCATGGCCTTTGGGACTGGGTCAGAGTAACTATTTATAGAAGGTCAAGACTTTATGATGGTGTACGCGCCAGAGTGATAACTGAGAATAGAGTGGGTCTTAGTTGCTTTGCTGCTGCTAATTTAGTGCCTAACGTTGCTCTGGGCTGCTGAACAGATGTGATTTACACACGTTGCATTGATCACTCACTACTTATATTACTATTGCATTGTGTAGTAACATAGTATAACATGACAAGGATGTGCAAGACCAAGCCTGTGCAGATATGAGACATTATTCATAGTGTGAATAGATTAAATTTCAGCTAAAGTGCCATTGATATGTTTTTCAAAAAACCTCTAAGACCAATTGATACCAAGATTATATTTGGGGTTGTCAATGTAAACGGGGCTGAATACAAATTCAAGTTTTACGTTTTAGATCTCTTCAACCTCTGAGAACTGTTAAATCATTTTCTTCAACTTTGAATGACATTGTATTTTGTATTGTTCTGTGGCAAAATATGTTGTCTTTTGGGACTGTAACTTGACAACTTGTAGAAGTCCTTATGTGAACGGATACTTCTGCATGGAACTGTATGTACTCACTGAATGCAACTTTTATAAAAATCTTCACTTTGTTTAGAATGATTATGCATCCTGTAAATAATGCTGTCATGTTATGGGGTGTTCTGCCTTTCTGTCAGGAAAACCTCATTGGTCCCAAACAGTCCCTCCTTGGTTATTCATGAGTCTGACAGTGATGTCTTCTGCCTCAGCATGCTCTCTCCTCCCCTTTACCCAATACAGAGAGGCCACTCCACCCTTCGCTTAATATTCATACCCGTGTCTATAAAATGCTCATCCTCATCCTGCGGTGTCGGCTGCTTCTCTAGTTGCGTCTCTGAGCTTTGCTTTTTGTTTACACCTCTACCCACCTCAGAGAGCTGAGCTGCCAACATGTCCAAGCCTCTGTCCGACCACGACAGGAAGAAACAGATTTCAGTGAGGGGTCTTGCCGGCGTCGAGAACGTCACAGATCTGAAGCAGAACTTCAACAGACATCTCCACTTCACGCTGGTGAAGGACAGGAATGTCGCCACCAAAAGGGATTACTACTTTGCTCTCGCCCACACGGTGCGAGACCACTTGGTGGGCAGGTGGATCAGAACCCAGCAGCACTACTATGAGAAAGATCCCAAAGTAAGTTATACTCAGTGCAGCACTAAATGTAAACCAATATGCTCATATTCCAATTTATTAAAAAAATATATATACATATACACAGTAAGAGTTCAAAAGCAAAGCCACTTCTCTAACTATTATTGGAAAAAGGGAGTGAAAGATTGTTTTTGTGAGATTAAATTAAAATGCCCAAACCTATATCATGAACAATGATCACAATCATTATATGCAAATATTTTGGATTTTAACATTATTATTTGACAGTGGTGTCACTGATGGGATCCAAAAAGGCAATGGCGTCCCCAAGAAAAAAGGCCACATCCACCAGTTTTTCTCTTCCTGATCAACTCTATTACATTAATTAAAGGAAGGATAGTGTAAGCTTCATTAAATGACAATTTATTTATTTGACCTTACGGTCAGGCAGTTTAACCTGGTTCCTGGTTTATCATGCTGCTACTCATTCCCAAGCATGATAAAAATATTGAAATTCTGGTTTAGCTTTTGGCTCTGGTGTGCCACCCTCAAAGTCTGCCCATCAGTTAATTAAAAAAACAAACAAAAAAAAACTTTGTCGAAGTTCTTGAATAGCATAATTTTCAAAAAGATATTAAGTGCTACAATTATCTGTACTAGGCTTTCGAAATTGTTTAATGCAAGGTCTAGATTGATGAAAGGTAGTCAGTATTGTACAATGAATGCTTTAAAAAAGGTGGGAAATCTTTAGTTGACTCCTATTATGTGTCCAGTGTCAAAGAAGGCAAAAGTCAAAAGGCAGCTTTGGGGCCCTACCTAACAAAGCAGGCTTTGATTACAAACACAAATTGCAGTGGAGTTGTACTTATTTTGCTAATTACTGGCCCTGTTTGGACCATTCCTATAAGAAAAGACTAAACGTGCATAATAAACATTATTCCTTACCAGCCTTGACTCATACCTAAAATATCACCATATCTTATATTGTATGAAAACACCAATTTGTAACAAAATGTCACAGTATTTGATTAAAATGAACAGTCAGGCCATACTTAGGCTCTAACAATTGTGTTAAGTCTAGAACCACTGAACACAGCACCAGCTGTGCTGTACAGTGATACAATGAGAACTGTCTGCTGTAATTTAAAACGCCCATATGCTATTTTGTGCACAGTAAAGATTTTAGATTATAGCGGCCTGAAAGTAGTGACGAACGAGTATTTTTTTAATATAAATATTACATAACTGAATTATAATAGTATGCTCGTTTATCATCAGTATTTTTGTGAAGTTTTTGGTTACTAACAGCCCAGCCAGGGTGTTGTGTGTTTAGCCAAAACAAAACATTGCCTTTAGATAGATAAATAAGAATAAAATATTATTGTATGACCAAATGCAGTAAGGAATTCAACTGTGTTGTACTGAAGGCAAATTATATGAACTCTTCCTTTGACCCCAGGATTGTAATACCAAGCACAGTTTTAAAATACTGATGCCAGTGTATGTCAGCCATGACATTTGGACTTCTTTGGGGTAGGGGTCTCTTAGCACTCTGCTGGTATGCCGCCATTGCTTATAGTCTGTTGAAACACTAAACTCACCCATGACCTTCTGTTCCTGTCCCATCTGACCACCAACACGTACTCCTCCTCTCTTAGGCTGTGTGAGTGTGTGAGATCCAAGGACATCCGAAGCCCGCTTGTTGTAATGCAGTTACATTAAAGCTTTATGCCAACAGCCGCTCAGTCATTAAGCAGCAGCTACAGCTGGGAACCTTAGAGGAACCATAAGGCTGTGGTTCACTTGAACAGAACAATAAAACTGCAAGCTGCAACACATTTGCACTTAGAAATGTCAGCCGGAATCATATGTAATTACAGGCGGAGGGTTGAGAAGGAGGGTAAAAGTAAGTTCCATCTCCTCTTACATTGTGTGATAACATGTTCTTTGGAGGTTCATTAATGAAACTACTGAACAAAAATGGAAGAGGGAACCTGCTTTTCAACAACACGTGCTGAGGCAATGCTTTCAAGAAAGATCCTGGTGGTTGTATGAAAATGTTTGCTCAGAGGTCAGTGGGCTACACTGGCACAGTCAGAAGTAGAGTGGAATGTTGGGGTTGAGCTCTGAACTGAAAGGTCAAAGGTGAATAACATACTGGTCTAACTGGAAAGCATAGGGAGGAAGGTCACCCAAGCTAAAATAAGGTCTGGACCTCCGTGATCCATTCTTTTAATACTGATTGCATTCTTGGAGAAAACCGGGTAATCAATAGAGTAAATTAAATAAAACCAGATAGGAACATGATGTCATATATAATTTAATGAATCCTCCACTCAAAATGGAGCCCCTGTCATTTCCTCTCACCATCGTTTTTAACATCTGTACCGTCTCTGTCTACCAGGACTTGAAATCCACAATTAAAGGTTATCAGGTTCTGGCTGACCTTTACAACGACCTCTACAGGAGCTATTTTTTACCTGGCCCAAAATGTTGGATGTTATGTAATACCCAAAGCAATCTGTTCCCCTAGTCACCCCCTCTCTCTCTCCCCACTCCTCTCTCTGGTCCGCCTCCTTCCCTCCTCTGCCTGTGTGTGCCCTTCCATGTCAGAGGAAAGGGGAAAAAAAACCCAACAACATCTAAATGGCAAAGGTTAAAAACTGTCTCAGGTGGCACATTTATAAGCGCTCCCAACCATAAAACTGAATCATAAAACCTGATTTTTTATTTTTTATTTTATTTAAGAAAGGTGTGGGCATTATTTTGACATTTGGCATATGGTTTCACAGGTTTATAGTTTCAGTGCCAAATAAAATGACTCTTAAAAGGGTGCAAACCCTGTTTAAAAGTGAGAGGTAAGAAAATTCAACTTTGATAAAGGATTTAAAAAACATTTTCCACAAATAATGTCAGTGACATAGATCCTGCACAGTTAAAGTGAAAACAACTTTATTAAAGGAAATATATAAAAATAAAGAGCAGCAATATTCTGCCTTTATTAGTATGCAAACCCTTGAGCTAATGTTTTGTTTGAGCTCCTTTGAAATCAGTTCCAGAATTGAGTTCACAGCTGTAATATTTCAAGGATCTTTGGGTTAACCTGAAATAAAGATAAGCTGCACAAGTAAGATTTTTTTATGTTATTCTTTCCCATTATTACAGTGCAGACAATGGTAAAAGAAAAAGAAAAAAAGCTTTTATATATATTTATACCTGTAGCTCTCTCTCTTTCTCTCTCTCTCTCTCTCTCTCTCTCTCTCTTTCTCTGTATATATATATATATATATATATATATATATATATATATATATATATATATATATATATATATATATATATATATATATATATATATATATATATATATATATATATATATATATATTTGTATATGTAATCATTTTACATCATTTTGCATTTGCATTTTACATATGCCAACAATGTTCTTCATTCTCCATGTGTCTCTAGACTAATACATGGGGTATTAAAATAATATTATTTCTTCAAATAGATAATCCAGGCCTGCCTAAAATCTCCTAAACCAGAGGTCTTCAGGTTCAAGCTTCACTGTCCGGTGCCCTGCAGGTTTTAGATGTGTTCACCTCCTCCATGCAGTCGAGTTCTCCAGGGTCCTACTAATGATCTCATTATTTGACTGAGGTGTGTTAAAGCAGAAACACATCAAAAGCTTGCAGGACACTGGGCCCAAAGGCCTTGATTTGAAGATCAATGTTAAAGCCTTCTAGGAGAATGTGTTAAGGCCTGATGAATTCAAGCATCACTGAGAGTTCAAGCATGCATAAGACACCCACAATAGAAACCTGGCAGTCGGTATCTTTTATAAAAATATGTTTGTTACATATTTGGTCAAAAGTCACTATGTCATGACTCTATAACATGAAACAAATAATCTGGGAAAAACAACAAGCTCCTCTCCTTCCTCCTTGTGGTCCATTCTTAGGCTATAACAATTGTGTTAAGTGTAGAACCACTGAACATCACTCTAGTGTATGTACTCGTCAAGATTGCCGGTTTACTGCAGCTGTGCTAATCGCAGAGAAACAACTTACTGTTTCAGAAAAAAATGTCTTCCGCCATCATTGTGGCCATGCTAACTAGCCTGTGCATTCACAGGAGGGAAAAGAAGAAAAGAAGCTGTAATGTAACAGAGATCGAGGAGGGTGTGAGCAGTGCGTACACGAGCTTGATTGACAGTACTAAAAACCTTCTCCTTGCTATGATTGGTTGTTTTTGACTGAGTGGTGTATTTCTACTGATGTCAGTAGGAACACAGGGAGAAGGTAGAGGAGCTCAATTTTTCACATTATCTGTCTGATTTTACACTATCACGATATTGTAGCAGTTGTAATAAATATACAACTTTTTTGTGCAAACATCATCCACTGCAGCTTTAATGAGAGGAAACAATTGTTTTTCTTTTTACCAAGTATTGCAATTACATAGACAACTTTGTCAAATTAGACAAAGAAAAAATGCTACTAATTTGAGATGTGAACCAAATAGTGAAATTTGACCTCAAGTTGCCCTAATAAAATATCAGTTTAAGTATCAGTCAATTCACTAATTTTATTAGTTATGTATTTTATTTCTGACATTACATGGTGAATTCTATTGATGGAGAATACATTGAAACAATGCTAGATTTTCTTCCTCTCATTTGCTTATAGCATGTAGACCTGACATTTTAACAATGAATGTGTGCACCTTTGAGAACCCCCACTGCCATCCATCCAGCAGGGAGGAGGTTTCACAGTTATGAGAGTGGCACAAATGAAACTTCTTAACGCCTTTTTATTCATTTGTTCAGTTTATTGAAGGTGACAGGATTTCGTCTTTCTTTGTGTCCAATCTGTAGCGTGTATACTACATTTCTCTGGAGTTCTACATGGGCCGCACGCTCCAAAACACCATGGTGAACCTCGCACTGGAGAACGCCTGTGATGAGGCCATGTACCAGGTGAGACAAAGAAGCTTAATTTAATCCTCTTATGAGAGTGAAATTCTGTTTCCAAAGAGTGCATAAAGGAGCAGCTTCCCCCAAATCCCCTCTTCTTCTGTCCATTCTGTGTAGTTGGGTTTGGACATGGAGGAGTTGGAGGACATAGAGGAAGATGCTGGCTTGGGTAACGGAGGCCTGGGTCGCCTTGCTGGTATGTCTTTTATTTTGTTGCACTTTGCATGAGATGAAAATTATCAGTCTTGTTTTCTATGAATACATTCTTACACACTTTCGTTTGTTTAGCCTGTTTCCTGGACTCCATGGCTTCATTGGGCCTGGCAGCATATGGATATGGCATTCGCTATGAATTTGGCATCTTTAACCAAAGAATCGTCAATGGATGGCAGGTACATGAAAAAAGTGAATGTTAATATTGAGTTTTGCAAAAATATTGTGTTCATTCCTCTTAACTGAACCCTGGGGGAAATGTGGAAGAAAATTCATAGTCATGGTGTCCATCAGGCTCTTTCTAACGATTTGCAAAATTGTTGAAAGAAAGCTAGAAAAAAATTTATTATATGCAATTTGGCACAAACCATCTGTGTAAAATGTTTAAGAAGAGGTTCTGGGCAGATGAGATGAAAAAGTGACTTTTAAACAGATTTGCAGCTCACCCTGTACCTTGTCATCAATAAAACATGGTACTGTTTAACACTTGGTATAATATTAATGTCTAATTTCTTGCTACCGTATCTCATACAATCATAATAAACACGCAAAACTTTAATGTTGAAACACTGGATGATATCAAAAATTTAAGGGGTAGGACTAATTTTACAAAGCACCGCAATTAGCAATAATTCTTTTTTTTTTTTTTTTACCATAAATCACCTGGAAAATAAATTTTTGTCTGTGATCTTACTCATGCGTTTGTCCTGTCTGTCACTTATTAGGTAGAGGAGGCCGATGACTGGCTGCGTTATGGCAACCCTTGGGAGAAGGCTCGACCGGAGTACATGCGTCCAGTTCATTTCTATGGCAGAACTGAGCATCAGCCCGACGGTGTGAAGTGGGTGGACACCCAGGTGAAAATATAATCTGAAGTAACAAAGATTAAATCTTGTTCAGATGGGACACTACTGACATACAATACTTGTGTCCCTTCATGCACTGATAGGTTGTGTTGGCTCTGCCATATGACACGCCTGTACCTGGCTACAGAAACAACGTTGTGAACACCATGAGGCTGTGGTCTGCGAAGGCTCCCTGCGAGTTTAACCTCAAAGACTGTACGTGTTTGACTTTAGTAAGATCTCACTTATTCCAGATCTTACTTAAACCAATAAGTTTGTGTATTATTTTCTCTTCATAGTCAATGTTGGTGGCTACATTCAGGCTGTTTTGGACAGGAACTTGGCTGAGAACATCTCCCGTGTGCTTTACCCCAACGATAATGTAAGAAAAACTATATTACCTTCGAATCCACAAGAACTGGAGCCACTGACCCAACATTTAGGACACTCTGTGTGTTTTTCTAACACATTTGTAAATATAGACATTTAATACCATTCAGGTATTAAATGTCTATGAAAATAGGATTTTCATAGAAAAAACCATTTTTTTCCCACTTAAAATGGTGAGAAATAAAGATGTTAAAGGAAGTTATTGCTGTATAAACCCCAGACATTAAGTCTGTTGTGGCTCTAACTGTTGAAGAGGGAGGGAAACCTTAAGAGCTGCCTGAAACCTTCAAAAAGAAGATTGTAAAACCTTTTGTGTCTGGTAAGGGATTTTAGAAAGTCTCTAAAGAGTCTGAAATTATTCTTTCCACTGGACTGAAAGTAGTCTACACAATGGTAACTTTCAACAGGAAACACGTGAAGGTCTGGCCCTCCAAGAAAGCTCGTCCAGTCCCCCATAACCTTTTCTCACCGAACCTACAACAGGCCCTTATTAATATTTAAGTGCATGTCTGTACAGTCAGAAAGAGACTGTACAAGTTTACATTTCAAAGAGGAGATTCTGCTCTCAAAGAACAAAAAAGAAAACTGAAGATGAGGGCCAGATTGAAGTTTGCCGCAGAAAATGTAAAGAAAATATTTCAATAGATGAGTCTGACATTTAAATTGTTGGACACTAAGAGAGGGGACCAGTTTGGGATAAAAAAATAAAACATTTCCAGCATAAAACCTCACCTCATCATGTGGTAAGCATGGCTAATGTTATGACTTCCTGATGGCAGGGTTTCAGAAAGAGCATAACATAGTTTGTTATGTTGTGCTATAAAATGCCTGGAGAATACATAATACTGTTCATTTAATTAATAACATGATTTTCATTTTGGTGTTTGTTTACATGGAATCAAATCATGGAAAACAGGTTAGTCTTCTGATTTTTCACTGCACAGTATAGTTGATGAGAGGATAAGAAAGTGTGGCTGTTGCGTGAATAATTTGGAGACTGGAGCCACCTGACATAAGAATGTATGTGTTTTGTCTTCAGTTCAATCACAGTCCCCTGTCCAAGGAGTTTTCTGGTGTCTTTTAGATCTGACTTAAGGGCTGACCTCTGCTTTCTGAAAGCCCAAGCATAAGGATTTACTCCAGGAGACAGACGTCTGTTTTGAGCTATAAATCAGGAAGAGCTTAGTAATTTATGTCTGAGCAGACGTTGGAATGGTCAGCCGCTGCAGCTGTGAAATCACAAATGTTTAGTGAACTGAAACAGAGCTTTTTGCAGCACAATATACACTGTGTTCAAAATTATTATGCAAATTGGATTTAAGTCTCATAAAGATAACATTTTTTGTTGTGCTATTAAATTTATAGATGGTCTTGTGTGTCAAATGTTTTGATTGAAATAGTTTTGATTTTTGTACATGTGACCACGTAATGCTGCACATTCAAAGAATGGCCATTTGCAATTCTTTATAATCCATTAAATGTTTAGAAAATCTGCTGTGCATAATAATTCAGAACAATGGATTTTGAGTTTTTTATTTAAAAAAAAATATTGTTCTCACAGGAAGCTTTGTTCAGTAAAATTTGGTTTATATTGTAATAGTTCATGACTTGAAAATTATACTGACCATCATTTGCATTGACAGTGTACTTTTTGGATTAATATGTAACAATATTTGTTCATATGTATTATCAGGATATCTTTTTACTTTTAAAATACCTGTCAGTTGTTGAAAACCAATTGAAACTGAGGCAGTGGTTTACCTTCCATCAGAACAACGTAGACATTCGGACAAACCTACAGTGAAAAGATTTAGATTGAATCTGACTGAGCTGGAGATATTTTGAAATCAAGTTTGGCTAAAAAAAGTCTGTGTGTAGATGTGCAAAACTGGAAGATATACACATCAAAAGATATGCAGCTTTTACTGTGACAACATCTCGTTCTACAAAGTATTTACTTGATGGGATAGATGTGTGTGTGTGTGTGTGTGTGTGTGTGTGTGTGTGTGGGTGGTGTGTGTGTGTGTGTGTGTGGGGGTGTGTGTGTGTGTGTGTGTATGTGTGTTTTTGTATATGGGGAAGGATAGAGAATATAAATGCATGCCACACTTTTTTATTTTTAATATAAACAAAACATTGACAGCTTTTAAAACATCAAAGCTTATGGTGGTGAATTATTGTTTGTGACTCAAGGAACACTATTCCAGACACAAGCTGCTGATATCAGCTTTCTTTGTTTAGCCTGGCTTTGTGGCAACATTCATTGACACTCAGAAACTGAGTGAGGTACTACTTTATTTAGAGTAGAGGCACTGCTCTTCTGCATTGAAAGGAGTCGGCAGAGATATTTATGGATATCTGACCTTCTGAGCATATTAAACATTTATTCTGTAGGCACTATATTTTACTTATGACCTGTGAACGTATTGGGACTCACTAGAATGGACTAGTGGAGAAGGATGTCTGGGTGAAGCCATGAATGGATTTGAAACCATCTACTGAACTGTAAAAAAAATAACTCACACTGATGTATATCTACAAGAGATAAGAGCACAACAGCAGCAACAAAACTTGTGCAAATACCTAATTTCTTTTTAGTCAAGGCCTTAATTATAATTATGTTAAAAAAAAACATGTTTTGAATGAAAGTACCCATTTAATGAAAAAAAAATTGAAATTTGACTTCAGAACAAAACGAGGTCTTTGTGTCCAGTTCTTTGAAGGGAAGGAGCTCCGACTGAAGCAGGAATACTTTGTGGTATCTGCCACTCTGCAAGACATCATCCGCCGCTTCAAGGTCTCAAAGTTTGGCTCCAGGGAGGTCGCTCGCACAGACTTCAGCAAACTGCCTGACAAGGTACAGCATGAAAGACTTTCTATCAGTGTGTTGAGCAGATATTGTAGTTGTTTATTGATCATTTTAAGTATAAGTTGGCATGAACAGCACCGACAGTGGTTTTTATGTTTGTTACTGGCATTCTGTGAATGTTCTACATTGACTAAATGTTCTGCACATGCAGGTTGCAATCCAGCTGAATGACACCCACCCTGCTATGGCTATTCCGGAGTTGATGAGGGTTCTTGTTGATAATGAAAAACTCTCTTGGGAATCGGTAAATGTCCCATTTTCTTTATCTATTATGGGATAGATGTGTGTGTGTGTGTGTGTGTACAAATATACTGCTCAAAAAAATAAAGGGAACAAACTTCTGTGAAATCAAACTGTCCACTTAGAAAGCAACACTGATTGACAATCAATATCACCTGCTGTTGTGCAAATGGAATAGACAACAGGTGGAAATTATTTTCATATTTATTTCATTCATTCAGCTCTAGGAAGTTTTATTTGAGTGTTCCCTTTATTTTTTTGAGCAGTGTATATCTTAACAGAGTAGTAAATCAATGAAAAGGTAAATTCTTCAATTCATCAGACTGGAAATAATAGATTACAAACACAGTAATGTGTGTCTGTTTGTGTTGGTAATGGCTGACAAAGAGAGTGAGACATAAAAGTTTATTGCTAAAGAAGCAGTGGGCTTTTCAATTGAAAATTGAGTGAAAGGAAAACTGTGGCACAAAAAATGTATCAACTTTAGGGATGATCGCAACTTTGACAGAGAATGGAAAAATGTAAATCTCATTGAAGAATTTGAAGGATATTTACAAAATGTGAATTGAGACTGGAATCAGTTCCTCATAATTTAAAATAACTTTGAATGTGTTTTTTCCGGTCAACATTTTTGTGTTAAAAATGCTTTTTTTGTTAGTTCTAATATTTAAAAGTCTACAAAGCAGAATTTTGGGGTTTTATTTACTTTGAATCTTAATAATTAAAAAAGCAGGGAAACATGTTTGAAACACATCCCTTTGTGAAACACATATATTTATCTAAAATGTTAGTTTAACTCTTTTAAATCGAATTACTAAAACAATGTATAATTTTGGTTACATTGTAAATGATTGGGAAAACTCTGTATCATCATATCATTCAAGAAACTACGATTTTATCGATATTAGACAAAACAAAGATGTTTAACTATTGCTTCCTGTGGCTGATGTTCAGGCCTGGGACATTTGTGTTAGGACCTGTGCCTACACCAACCACACAGTCCTTCCTGAAGCTCTGGAGCGCTGGCCAGTAGACTTGTTTTCCCATCTGCTGCCCCGTCACCTGGAAATTATCTATGAGATCAACCGACGCCACCTGGAGGTTGGTGCTGCAAACTGCAACATCTACACAGACAGCAGTGTGTTGCATCCAATCCCTATTTCAGGGTGAAATAAGACTATTGCTTAATCTTTACAGAGTATAGTCAGCACAGTTGAAAATATAATGATGAAGTAATTAAATTATATCTAATCTCTTACATTAAAAATGAACAAGATTAGAAAACAATTAAATGAGAATATATTAACACACAATGTGCAGCAGTGACTTTCTGTGTCAAAAAGGTTGGTTTAAAGATGAATATCTTCTAGAATGTGAAAGCCCAAAAAGGGTGAAAAAAATAGATGTATCTTGAGTTTTATTTTCAACATCTGTCAGGAAAAACTCCCACATCTCCTCTGAAACGAGACAAAAATATTTCTGACATGAAGTGGTGGGCAGAGCTGCACAATAAAAAAGAGAAAGCTTTCATATGAAAGCTTTCATCTACTGTCACACTGATGGAAATGGTCATGATGCTGCTAACTTGTATTTTATATGTATGGCGTGACCTTTTGTGTAGAAAGACCAGCTTTGATGTAACAAGCAAAAGATGTGTTTTTAATTCTTTCTAAAATCAGGAATTTCTTTTGATTTTGCAGAAAGTTGCTGCTGCATTTCCAGGAGATGTTGATCGTCTTCGTCGGATGTCGCTGATTGAGGAAGGAGGGCAGAAGAGGATTAACATGGCCCATTTGTGCATAGTTGGTTCTCACGCTGTCAATGGTGTGGCCAGAATCCACTCTGATATCCTGAAAGCTACCATGTAAGTAGCCAAAATTTTTTTACTAGTAATTAAATTATAACTACAGTCCCTAGAAAAAGCATATATTCCTATTTTACTTACTTTCTCATTTAATCATATCAGAGCAATCAACAATGTTTTATATTTTGGGATTTTTTTTGATGCAGCAACATAAAGAAGGATGTAATCTTGGAAGTAGAAAAAGACACAAGCAGGGTGGTCAGTTTTGTTTATCTTCATTTGTTTCACTTCATTCACACCATCTCCTCATGAAGCATGATGGTGGCAGCTATTTAGATTTGATGCAATGAATAGAGGTAAATATGGGACGATATTTTAAGACTGCATTTCAGATGAATTTTAGTCACTACCAAAAAAAAAATAAAGATTGCTGAGATACAACAGAATGATTTAAAAAAATCAAATAAACAAATGGGCCCCTGACTGATCTGACAAATCTGTTTTGTAAATAATGAAAGAGAACCTTCAAGCTGTCCTAAATGCTGAATTAAGGACTTCTATAATATAATTACATAATGAATGGCAAGCAGCTGTGTGCAGATATATCTAAAGTTTTCTTTTCCCACCAGCTTTAAGGATTTCTATGAAATGGAGCCACACAAGTTCCAAAACAAGACCAATGGCATCACCCCTCGCCGCTGGCTGGTCATGTGCAACCCTGGGCTGGCAGAGATCATTGCTGAGGTCAGCTGCGCTCAGATGACATTAACAAAACCAAGCTTATATTTAGGTCATCTGGCAGAGCAAACCTCCTCACAGTATGGGCTGACTTGGTGTTGTTTTGTTGCTCATCAGAGAATTGGGGAGGACTTCATTCGTGATCTGGACCAGCTGCAGAGTCTCCGGGATTTTGTGAATGATGAGGCATTTATTCGGGATGTTGCCAAAGTGAAACAGGTGAATAATGAACATTTAACTGAGTTTGTGATTCCTCAACTGCTCACTAACCCAGCAAAAATAAAATTGAAAAAGCAAATACTTCCCTTACCTTGATAATGTTACTATATCCTCTAACCATTTGCACATTTTGTCCCAGTGGTTTGTTGATTTCACTAATATGAATCTGATAAATGTGTTATTGATTTGTTTTCAGTGTTTTTGACTCAATGCTTTCTGTATACTCCTTTTGATGCAGTTATAGTTGCTGCTCTTTGAGGAATCTCTCTTCTGGGTTTTCACCTCTTGAGAATGCAGTTGTTGCCCATTAGCTCAATCTCAGTCAGATTAGATGCAAAGCATGTCTGAACATCAATGTTCAGTTCTTGCCACAGCTAGATTTTGGTCTGGATTTTGAATATTCTAACTTCAGAATATACTTTGGTCTAAACCGTTCCATTGTTCTGCTTTCTCACATCGTTTTTCCCCAGGATTGATTTGTATCACCCATCTTTCTATAAACTGTGGTCAGCTTCCCTGTCTTGAAGGTCACAGCAACAATGGATGTCTTCTCTCTTCTGTCAAAGATATTTGTGTGGTGCACAAGTAATTGATGTCATTTTGCTCCTCCAGTAATACCATGGATCTTTTAGTTTGTTTATCACATAAAATCCCAATAAAAGTATTTAAAGCTTGTGGTTGGATTATGACAACATATAAAAAATGTTTGTGTTGTCACACGCTGTTAACACCAAAATTATGTCCTTCACACATAGAAACAGCTACTGGCTTTTCAAGTACAAATATAATTCTCAGGCATTCCCAAGCTCCATCTGGATATCTCTCCTCTATACATCACAGGCGTGTCCCAGTTTCATTACTTCTAACTCTCTGTGTAATTAAAAAGCAATTATAATGAATACATCCTTGGCCCCCAGCCCACCCAGGCCATGACAGCCAGCAATCAGCGTAGAAAGGTGACATGACATTTTATGAGTTTTCATTGGCATTTTTCCCGCGTTTGTGTTCCACGTATTGTTTGTCTCCGGTAATTGCTTTAACCGCATTTGCATAATGAATCTGTTTACAGTGGCAGACACTGAAGTACCTTTTTTTCCCTTATAAACAAAAACAAATGCTTTGATCCTGTAGGAGAACAAGCTGAAGTTTGCCGTGCACTTGGAGGAGCACTACAAGGTGAAGATCAATCCCAACTCCATGTTTGACGTCCAAGTGAAGAGAATCCACGAATACAAGAGACAGCTGCTCAACTGTCTCCACATCATCACTTACTACAACCGTAAGTATTCATTTAGCTGCCTCGAGCTCCACATCTACTTTATTATGCTACTTTATTATGTTGAGGCCCTTTAGCTCTTTGTATTTTTTCTGTGACAACTTCTGAGATTTCTGTTTTTTTTTTTTTTTGTAGTTTTAGGTTGTTAAGTTACTTTTGTTGCTATTCCTACCAGGCATTAAGAGAGAGCCAAACAAGCAGTGGACTCCAAGAACAGTCATGATTGGAGGAAAGGTTTGTAGTAAAATAATAATAATAATAATAAATTACACTTTGACAATATATGTCACTAGATCTAACTGAACTCATCTTGCAGGCTGCTCCTGGATACCACACAGCCAAGATGATCATTCGTCTGATCACAGCAATTGGCGAGGTCGTCAACCACGATCCTGTCGTTGGAGATCGCCTGAAGGTAATCTTTTTGGAGAACTACAGAGTCACACTGGCAGAAAAAGGTAAGAACCCACTCTATGCTGAGAGCAAAAGACTAATATGAAGCGCTTACTGCAAAGATCAACATCCTTCTTTTGCCATCTTGCAGCTATACCAGCATCAGACTTGTCAGAGCAGATCTCCACAGCCGGCACTGAGGCCTCCGGAACCGGCAACATGAAGTTCATGCTCAACGGAGCCCTGACCATTGGCACCATGGATGGAGCTAACGTTGAGATGGCGGAGGAAGCTGGGGAAGGCAATCTTTTCATCTTTGGCATGAGAGTAGATGACGTTGACGCACTCGACAAGAAAGGGTAAGGAGTGAACCACACCTTCCGTCTACCATGTGCAATCAAGAGGACAGGGAAATCTTTTACTTGGATATGTTAGGATTCCTTATAGGAAGACTTAGACACTACAGAGAGGTTTATTCTTTTCTTTTTACTTGTGCCATTGGAGTATCATTATCAGATCCATTTGGGGAAATACCTCAGAGAGAGGCCAACTGTCAAGACCTTTTAAAATCACCGCAGTGAGCTCCACAAGCTCTGACAGTCCAGCTGCTCTGAGCTGTTTCACTGGTTTTAATAATAATCTTTTCCTTTTCCTTTGCTCAAAGACTGTTTTTTTTTTTTTTGTACATTAAAAGGAGTGACTGTAAAGAACACAGAGCTGTTTTGTAGTTGTACCGATGAAAGGGCTTGTTACCACAGTGATAAGCTTGTGCTTTAGTCAATGATTTTCATTTTTATTTTTCATCCTGCTTAGATACCATGCTGAGGAGTATTACAACCGGCTGCCAGAGCTGAAACAGGCCATTGACCAGATCGCCAGTGGCTTCTTCAGCCCAAAGCAGCCAGACCTGTTTAAGGAAATCGTCAACATGCTGATGCATCACGACAGGTACAAACAACCTAGTATTTGTGTATATTTAAATATATAGATATTTATGTACATATTTATGTGTGCAGAAAGTCCTAGTCAACTCTAGTCCACATCATTGACAAACAGGCTTCCTGGTTGTGCAGGTGGTAGAACACATTGGACCAGGCCTTGATGAATTTTTATTGTTTGTCAGGTCTGACAGTCTAAGCATTTTAAAGAAAAAATTTTAATAAAAGTTGGCATTGAATCTAGGAATTTGGAATCAGACATCAATATGTCAGATCTCTGTAACCTTACCTTTGTATTGTCTATGTTTCATTCATTAAGTTTTCATGTTTTCTTCTCAGGTTCAAGGTCTTTGCTGACTATGAAGACTATATTAAATGCCAGGAGAAAGTCAATGCTTTGTACAAGGTATAAATTAAAAATAAATTAATATTTCTGACTGTCCTGCTGATGATTAGTCCTGTTAGTGTACTGTTAGTGTAGTCATAATAGAGGGAAACAAAATGACTGCTTCTGTTGCTTACTTGTTATTTTCATCTTATCACAGAACCCTAAGGAATGGACCAAGAAGGTGATTTACAACATTGCTGGATGTGGCAAGTTCTCCAGTGATCGCACCATTGCCCAGTACGCACGCGAGATCTGGGGCATGGAGCCCACGCTTGAGAAACTGCCTGCCCCTGATGATAAGCAATAAACTCTCCTTATGACAGCCAACACACACACACAGTTTCTCACCTAGGCTCTGGCACCTGCTGAACCAGTTTTGTTGGCTCTGTAATGTCAGGCAAGAAGCCCCCATAAGCTTGCATCCATGGCACATTCAAACCTCAGAAAGTTTACATTTCTCCATTATGACTAATCCAGGTAACATGCTGGCGAAGAAAAACTGTTGCAGTTTCTTTGGAGATGTAGGAGTTGATATGTATCTGATGTAAAGTGGGTTGAAAGAGCTTTGTGGTGGGCTTTGTACATTTTTTTTGGTGATTTTTTTTATTATTATTAAAAAGTTTCTGTTATATATCCATTCAGATTCATTCTAAATAAAATTTGTTTTAACAACTTTCCTTTCTGAGACTTTACTTACCTAAAACGCTATTGTTGGGCCTTATGGACTTCATCATGGACTTTAGACATTATTTTCCACCTTAAATGCTATTTTTGATATATATTTTGGGATTTTTATACATTTGTTTTAGAAAAGTAATTACAGAGAAAATGTCTATCATGTGATGAGTAGCATTATTTTCTGTATTTCTATGCAAATCTGACAAATAAATAGAAGTACTATGCTTTTTCTTATTTTTTTAATTCGCCGAAATTGTTGGATAAAAAGGTTGACGCTGCGCTTCATTAGGAAAACGTGTTGGGGTAGTTGCAATGTGTACCTTGGCCACTAGATGTCACCATACTCTCTTTACTGCTTCTTTAATCCCTTGTTTTATAATGTCAATCTTATTACCAGTAAAAAAAAATGATTTTCCTTTTTTCACACTTAACATTTTCACATATATATATATATATATATATATATATATATATAATATATATAATATATATATATATATAATATATATATATATAGTTATGATTTCCTAAATAAATAAGAAATGATGTCTTTAATATCCTTTAATAATGAAAACACATCTATATATTGCTCTACATTAAAAAAGTGGGTGTGTGCTTGAATTTCTTTACTTTGTGCCATGACCTTTCTTTATGATATTTTCTCATACATAATGATAACTGATGGTTTCCATTTATGTGGCTTCTTGATTCTACATGTCTAGCAGTAATCAGACCTTTATATAATGGTGATCCTGCACTTAGCTTTGAAAAAATAGCATGTGAATTTAAAATTAAATGACTATTAGCGTCAGTCTCTTTACATATGCTCTTCAACATGTCAGTGATAAGTGCATGTAAACACCTCAACTATCTTTTCCACATTTCAGAAAATAAAGAGAGGGTTTCACCATGCAAAGTGCAGGGGAGGTGGGTGGGCTGAAGGTAACAAAGCAGCCAGTGGGAGCTCATGAACTTAAGAGTTAGAGACTTTGGAGCTTAAATGGTCCACCCAAATCATTAGTATTTATTTGCCTGATATATTCTGCAGATTGTGAGAAAGATCATGTATTAAGTAAGGTCAGGATGAGCTTTCTACCTGAACAAACTTGCTGGTGTCATCTAAATTAATTTATGTTTGGTCAAGGAAAGATAACTTTTTACTTATACAGCCATGTCGTCTGAATTGCTTTTGTTGCCTAAAAATTAAATCCTCATTTGAAAGCTGCTTTCAGTGCTTCCTTTCATAACATTTGGTTAATGATTTGAAGCATTCACTCTTGCGCAAAAGCAAAGTAAGGGGGTCAATTATTTTTCCACAGAACTGCAGACTTTACATTTTAAAAGGCACATCCCTTCATTAATGTTAATGGATATGACAAGTATTTCCATAAAGGTATCACAAAATGCACTCGTTGATGCCCTATTTTAACCATGTCAGCTGCTGTGAAAATAAATATTGTACCTGCCAAAACAGTCAAGTTGTGAAAAAGTCCAGGATTGATTGTTTTGGACATAAGTCCAACATCCAACATGGCATGGCATTGCAAAATAAATGAATAAAAGGACAATCTGTGCCACAGTTAAATAGAGCAGCACAAAAACAGGGATACGGGTGTCTGATAAGGCTGTTGCCCCACAGCAAACCTCTGTGTCAACATTAGCACGAGACCCAGTTTACAAGGAGACAGGACTTTGGCACTTTTGCTTGTGAGGGCAGCACTCCAGCGGAAGAATGAAGCCAGAAGCAGTTAATCTTAATGCGAGCTGTTATCACAGGCTCTTCCCGATAACATTTGCTCCAGCGCAACGGATATACTCATAAAGTTTAATAAAAAAAACACAAGTCACAGCATCAGCATAAAAAAGAACCTCTGCTACAATAAACCGGCTCCTCTGTCCAGTCAGATAGGATGTGTGACCTGTTAGAGCAGTTATTGAATTTTTATTTTTTTTTAAGTTTGATAATGAGGTCATGACCTGGACTACAAACTGAGTGTTGAATTTAAATAGCCCTAATTTGTCACCATGTTCAGAACAACATTTAGATTTAGAAAATAACTCCTTTCTTTGCAATCCTAACTAGAAGTCTTTTTTCTGCTAGCACATTATATCATGCTCAGATCTGTTAACTTATACTCAAATAAAGTCCAGTGTACTCTGTTATCTTATAAAGTTACCTTATCGCTAACACAGAACAGAGCAGAAGAGCAACACTAAACATGCAGCAAGAGCAACAATAGACTGGTTTTATAAAGACTAGTCCTACAACCAACTGAGATTCACTGTTGATAGACACTTTCCATTCAATTTGACGAAATCTGAACTATTTCAATGTCTTGATATTTAAAATCACAGGCTGTATATTGGGAAACATTTCCAGCTGTGAGTTAAGCAAACAGCATGAAGAATACAAAAGGATCCTACACTTTCACTATCTTTATCTGATAATAAATACATGGAAGTTTTAGATTGCACTGTGTCAACAGGTGAAAAGGTTTAAAAGGTTGGAAACACATGGCAGTGTGCTCTAAATTAAAAATTGTACAAGTAATTGAAAAACAGCTAATAAATAAAATATGTGGGTTCAAAATGTGTCATGAAAAAAAAACTTATCCAAGCTGTTTAAAACCCCTGTATGCTACAGTTAGGGCCAGAAATATTTGGACAGTAACACAATATTTGTGAGTTGGGCTCTGCATGCCACCGCATTGGATTTGAAATGAAACCTCTACAACAGAATTCAAGTGCAGATTGTAACGTTTAATTTAAAGGGTTGAACAAAAATATGTGATAGAAAATGTAGGAATTGTACACATTTGTTTACAAACACTCCACATTTTAGGAGCTCAAAAGTAATTGGACATATAAACATAACCCAAACAAAAAAGTTTTTTCTCAATATTTTGTTGCGAATCCTTTGGAGGCAATCACTGCCTTAAGTCTGGAACCCATGGACATCACCAAACGCTGGGTTTCCTCCTTCTTAATGCTTTGCCAGGCCTTTACAGCCGCAGCCTTCAGGTCTTGCTTGTTAGTGGGTCTTTCCGTCTGAAGTCTGGATTTGAGCAAGTGAAATGCATGCTCAATTGGGTTAAGATCTGGTGATTGACTTGGCCATTGCAGAATATTCCACCTTTTTGCTCTCATGAACTCCTGGGTAGCTTTGGCTGTATGCTTGGGGTCATTATCCATCTGTACTGTGAAGCGCCGTCCGATCAACTTTGCAGCATTTGGCTGAATCTGGGCTGACAGTATATCCTGGTACACTTCAGAATTCATCCGGCTACTCTTGTCTGCTGTTATGTCATCAATAAACACAAGTGACCCAGTGCCATTGAAAGCCATGCATGCCCATGCCATCACGTTGCCTCCACCATGTTTTACAGAGGATGTGGTGTCCCTTGGATCATGTGCCGTTCCCTTTCTTCTCCAAACTTTTTTCTTCCCATCATTCTGGTACAGGTTGATCTTTGTCTCATCTGTCCATAGAATACTTTTCCAGAACTGGGCTGGCTTCTTGAGGTGTTTTTGGGCAAATTTAACTCTGGCCTGTCTATTTTTGGAATTGATGAATGGTTTGCATCTACATGTGAACCCTTTGTATTTGCTTTCATGGAGTCTTCTCTTTACTGTTGACTTAGAGACAGATACACCTACTTCCCTGAGAGTGTTCTGGACCTCAGTTGATGTTGTGAACGGGTTCTTCTTCACCAAAGAAAGTATGCGGCGATCATCCACCACTGTTGTCTTCCGTGGACGCCCAGGCCTTTTTGAGTTCCCAAGCTCACCAGTCAATTCCTTTTCCTCAGAATGTACCAGACTGTTGATTTTGCTACTCCAAGCATGTCTGCTATCTCTCTGATGGATTTTTTCCTTTTTTTCAGCCTCAGGATGTTCTGCTTCACCTCAATTGAGAGCTCCTTTGACCGCATGTTGTCTGGTCACAGCAACAGCTTCCAAATGCAAAACCACACACCTGGAAACAACCCCAGACCTTTTAACTACTTACTTGATTACAGGTTAACAAGGGAAAGGCCTTTTGAGTTACTTGCAGCCTTTGGAGTCCATTGTGCAATTACTTTTGGTCCCTTGAAAAAGAGGAGGCTCTGCATTACAGAGCTATGATTCCTAAAGCCTTTCTCTGATTTGGATGTGGAAACTCTCATATTGCAGCTGGGAGTGTGCACTTTCAGCCCATATTATATATAAATTGTATTTCTGAACATATTTTTGTCAACAGCTAAAATAACAAAACCTGTGTCACTGTCCAAATATTTCTGGCCCTAACTGTAGCATCACAGAAACATTGCCTGCTCACCTTTAGGATCAGATAAATAATTTACATATTCTTCCTCGTCTGGTTAGTCATTCAGCCTTGAACATAGAAAGCTGCCAAAACTAAATAGCTGTATTCAGTCTTAGCTGAGACTCAAAGTTTTTTCCAGAGTTTTATGTTATAGTTTATGGTTTATTTCTGTGTTAATTTTTTTTTCCGTTTCAGTCCCTTATTCTTTGAATAATGTGAAATTAAGTAAAAGAACAAAATAAAAGATGAAAGCAGGACATTTGATATCTCCCGTTTCTCTTTCTCTTGCTTGTCTTTTTTTCTTTATGGATATATTCATGAAAGAATATCTCAAGTATGTGAAATGGAAAAGAGGGGACTCTTACAACCAATTTTTTATATAAAAAAGAAACCAAAGTTTAAATATTTCTGTGTTAATTTTTCTTAAAAAATTAAATAAATTCCCCCGAAATTCGTATTAAATCTACATATTTTTTCACTGAGCTAAAATATTTATACTGAGATTGAATTATCCTGTTGCAGTACTAAAGGGGCTGCATTATTAAAATGTTTATTTTTTTTTATTTATTTGGTAAAAAACAAGAAAAAATTCCCATCCACAGTTTTGCCACACTTTGTGCTGCTTTTTTCACAACCCATCCCAAAAAGACATGTTAAAGTTTTCCAAAATGGAACAGGTAAAAAGTTAT